TCTTTTTGGTGGTGTTGCCGTCAAACATACACGTGAAGTATTTTGTGCTGACATGTGCTTCTTTGTTTCAGGAGAACAGAGCTTCTATATCAAAGGGCACTTAAAAGGAGGGAGTGATTCCCCACGTGGATGACTAAAATGAATATGGCCTTTTCACCCGAGAAGCACAAATCCCTTTTCCCTCTCCTCCTTCTCTTCTACGTCCCTCTCAGCTGTCTGTGCCAGACAACCAACAACAGCTCAGTCAATATCACAACCAACGCTCCAACCACTTCCTCTCCTTCCTCAAATGTTACTTCCTTGAAAGGTGTGCCAGGCTGCGGCCAAGGACTACACCCCATCTATAGGTACCTGTGTGACCGTCGGGCAGCTTGGGGTATTGTACTGGAGACGCTGGCCTCTTCAGGGTTCCTGTTCAGTATGATTCTCTTCTTGGGCCTGCTGTTCTGGTCCCTTTGGCTCTGTGCTTCATCAAGGCAGAATCGCATTGGCATTGGAGGCACAGTGGCCAACATGTCCATGTTCCTGTTGGCCACAGCTGGGATCTTCGCCATCACCTTCTCATTCATCATCCAACTCACCCCTCAGACCTGCCCCACCAGGATCTTCCTCTTCGCCGTGCTCTTCTCCCTGGCTTTCTCCTGCCTGCTGGCTCGCTGCCTTGCTCTGCTGGGTTTCGCAGCGGCCCGAGGCTGGGGCGAGCCTGCCGTGGCCCTGGGGCTCTTCACCGTGCAGGTTATCATCTCTACCCAGTTTCTGATCCTCGTGCTGGTCCGGGACACGAAACCTTGCGAGTACAGCCAGGAGGAATTTGTCATGCTGCAGATCTACGTGATGTGCCTCCTGGCTATCAGCTTGATCCTGTCCCTGCACTTCCTGTGCCGCTCCTGCTTCACATACAGCTACAGCTACACAGGGGCCACCCACCAGCAGGGGCGGTCACAGGCCATACTGCTCTGCCTCACGCTGCTGCTTTCCGCCTGCATCTGGGTGGTGTGGATCGCCATGCTCACCAGGGGTAACCGTGAGGTGGACCGTCGGCCGCGATGGGACGACCCGGTGCTTAGCATCGCCTTGGTGGCAAATGGCTGGGTGTTATTGATGGGGCACGGGTTGTCTCAGGTCGCCTTCCTCTGCAGGGGGGAGGCCAGGTCCAAGGATATCCCTCTGAGCTTCGCAGGCTGGACCAGCCCCAGTGCTGATATCCCAGGACTGAACAGCCCAAAGGAAGGGAAAGAAAACGGAAGCTATGAGAGCGATGGTGAAAACAGGAGAGGTGAGAGGCTCTCCTCAGGGGAAGTTTGTTAAGTATGTTTAGGGGCAAAGACAGATAAGGACAAGGGCTTCAACTAATAATTATTTTCAATAATAATTAATTGCTGATTATTTCCTTGATAATCAATCTTCACATTACTTTTTAAGTCATTAACCATCATAAAGGACAAAGAAAAACCAGACCCAATAAATATTTACATTTGAGCAATGGATTAATCAGTAGTTGCCAAATCATTTTCTATTGATTATCTTATTGATTAAACAATAAGCTCTGTTAAGTTAATGCTAGTTGGCTGCATTATTAAAGGGGTCTGGGAATTATCACTTTGAAATGTGTACTTGCAAACAAACGTGTACGTACTACAAACCACGATAAAATCATCTCCACACAAACAATATGGAAACTCAGAACAACACATGCTACAGCACAGTGCACAAAGAGGAACAGAGGCCACCAGTTCAAAGTAATCATCAGGAATATATAAGGGACAAACTGAATTGTAACCTGATTGGAGTATAACTCATCTCTTAGCAGTTTTTCCATTGAGTCAGACTAAACAACGGCCACTGCGGCCACAATTAACCATTACAGAATAATAGTAAATGACAAAACAGTACACAGTAGTTGAGTATAACAGTAGTACAACTAGAGAAAAGTCATAAAGTTAGCGAACTGACTCTAATGTCAGTTACACAGCCATATCTTTGTTAACATTAGCCAACATTAGCCATCATTAGCGACCATAAGCTGGTGGTCCAATAGGTCCTGGACCAAGTAAGGCTGCAGCAGCAAATCCTCTGAGTGTATAAAAAGTATTAAAAATGGTACTTTACCTCTTATGAATTCCAATTTTCCATTTGTAAATGGAAACGTGTGTGACTTCTACTTAAGAAAGTTTCACAGTCGTGTTTTTTGCCTCCTGTACAACTAACAATACCTCTAAATGTATAAACCCAACCCTTCAAATAAAAATAGAAGTCTGGCCAGCAATTCCAGATTCACTGAATGACATTCATAATGCTGAAATATAACTAGCCAACATGAACATAAAGAGCCGCTGTCGAACATTACAAAATGAATTCCACTATCAGTCAGCTCTGCTCTCACTGTGGGCCCTTCCTGATGACCACTATATAATGAAGTGATAATTAGCTGACTGTATCATGTGTCTCCCTTCAGGCAGGAGAACTGAGGCATCGCTGCGATCGCCCTACGAGTCTGGATTCTCCATGACAGTGAGTAATAAACTATTAGGATTAACAATCTGATTCAACATACTTTGCAATTAAGCGTGACCTTTCGCTACTGGAGGCAATTATGGCCAAGTCACTGTAAGGTTAATGAATCACAGTTTATCATGGCTGTTAATTGCACTGACATGATGAATGTGCGATTATATGTTCTGTGTGTGTGTTGCAGGAAATCAACCCTGACAAAGACTTCACCATCCCTCGCCCTCAGACCACCAACTACAGGGAACCTTATGATGAATATTACGGACATGACTAAAATCCCACTCACATTCATGTCTGGTTCACACAAACACACACACACACACACACACAAGGCACATAAACTGATACATATCAAAACCAAAGTTGAACTCATGCACTTATCTGTACTTAAAGCACTTGGCACAAAAATGTATTTTTCTACGTTTCATTTTCGTGTATTCGTTCCACTGTTGTAAGAAATGTTACTTCAGATCTGCCAAGAGGATGTAAGATCCTCAAAAAGAAGAAAGAAAGAAAAAAAGACTCCGTAGTATGACTCATCTGCTTGAGTTTCATCATCGAAGCTGGATGGGTCCAGATAGTCCAGCTTTCTTCTGGTGGGAAATCCACATCACAAATGCTGAGTGGAAGTGATTCTCTATGATGGTGTGTGTGTGTGTGTTCACATTGTGTGCTACTCTGAGATGGTATATAATAGCCCTGAGGTGATAGAAGAGGCGTGAAACTGTCACTCTTAAGGTGCCAAACTGCTGAGCAGAGCAGAGGCATCTGTGAATGCTAGAGAGGAGGCATGAAAGGAGAAGGAATGAGAGAGGAGAGGAGAGGAAGGGAAGATGAGATGAGATGAGACAAGACAGGAGGAGGATAGGACAGGAGACCTGTCAGCACTGTGGGAGGCTTGTGCCATCACTGATTAACATCTTCATATTCAAAAGTTACATTACAGTTGCCGGGTTCTGTCGGTGCTGCTGCGCCCAAAACAAGGGATGCGTGAATGTTAAAAGATATGAGGTATACAAGGTACGCCTCTGTCCAGCAACACATATTCTATGATTTTCTACATGTTTGTGACAAGTGTTATCAATAAAAGGCTTGTCTATAAAAGCCCTGATTTGTTTTTCATATTCTCAGAGCTCAACCTCTCCCACTCACATTCTGCACAGACGGCACACCAAAAGGCCAATTACTCCATCAACCAGATTCTGATCCGGCCTCCAGGCACCTGCTTCAAACAAGGGGGCTCGACCACGCAGGGAGCAGGGGGTGCAGTACCACGGTTTAGCCACCAGGGGGCAATGTCTAGGCATAGCAAGTGAGACTGGCTTGCTCACGGTAAATGAGACAAAACCAGTCAGAGGTGACTACCACACTCAAGAAAAGATAAGAGTTTTAGCAATAGCAGCAAAGTAAACCCTTATAATCCCACTTGACTATGATATTACAGTTGCACCATTTACACAGACTTTTTTCACAGCAGCCATTTTGACATTACATAGTAGGGTAAACACAGGTGTGGTACTAATGAAGGTTCTCCTCCAGTCAGGGTGCTGCTGTTGTGCGTGTTAGTTCACTGGGAATGCTCTGCTACACTAAATGGAACAGAACCTTCGTTAGTATCATTAGTAACACTAGTGTTTACCCCATTTCATATCAAAATGGCTGCTGTGAAAAAGGCTTAGAGAATACGTAACAGTTTCAGATAGATTCAGTTTGCGATGGCCTACAGTGACTCTGCCATCCACAAAGGTCAATTCCTCACTTCAATAGACGCAATCTTCACACATCCCCCCCCTTATCAGACGGCCTTCAATCTATTCTTCCAATTAGCACGACTTCAATTACTCAGAGAGAGCATGCCATCAAATTGGCAATTGGCCTCTTGTGCATTAGAGCAATTAGCAGGGATATGAGGTTTCCCGCCACATCCAACCCATTTACGGCCATTGACTCCAGATGCAATTAAAGATTGTTCTAGATTGTTCCCCCTTGTCAGCAATGAAAAAGTCTGAGGCGGCAGAAGAGCTTATCAAGCACTAGATTTGGTCAATGCAACCCAGCCGAGCGGTATTAAATGCGTGCAGTTGTTGCCTCAATCACGCATCTGACTCACACCGGCTTATTGAAAAGTTTCTGCAGTCTGAGCAGGGTTAGCCTGTAATCAAAAGGTTGCAACCGCTGGTTGTTAAAGCAAAAAGTGCACTCCTTTATCTCCTTTTGGTGCAGGGGTTTGTACTATTTAAGCCAATCTCTCTCTCCTGATCGGGTAATGTCTTTCCAGCCAAACACTGGAAAGAAAATGATAAGCTGTAGACAATCGTAGGAAGGAAATACCATAATGGTTAGCAGCTCCAAAATCAAGAAGCTTATCTGGGAGTGTGCTCTATCACCTCCTGATAACCAGTGCATGTACAGTGGGCGCGCTTTGGTGCACAATGTTAAACCAGAGCAATAAGCACGGGGCACAGGTAATAAGTATTCAAAGACCAGTATAAAAACCAAACTGTTTATTTATTATATACATTCAATAATAATGAAGAGAATAAACAGAAGGCAAACACAAGGATGGCAAAATAAAACATTGTGAGAAAATACATGTCACTTATTGAAAAAAAAAAAGCACTAGGATAAATGAGCTTTTAAAGAGCATGTGACATAAAAAATGAATCCACATGCAATTCAAACTCATTTATTAAATCCCTGTACAAAACAACACTCCCACTGGGTTGACTTGAGCACAGTGCAGGGAGTCGGGGTCAGCAGCTGAGGATAACGTTTGCCTTCTGTGTCATTCCAGCACACCTCTGCGGTGATTCTGCGGCCTCCCAAATAAGATTTACTCCCATTAGAAGAGACATAAGCGAGCAATAGTGAAACCCACAGGAGTCACCGCAGCCGCACCAGTCGCTGCTCCATAACGATAACACCTCAACGTGAGCCGCTGCCAACTGGATGAGTGAGGTGGAAACGTTGCTAAATGAGCGTCTAATGTAGGCAGGTATATAATAACACACTCTGTATCGGCCCTGAAGCGGGCAGCTGCTGCCAGATCACCTGCCTCATCTCTGCGCAGAGGCTGTTTTCCCTCCACAGAACTTAAGGTCGAATTATCTTCGAGTGGGTCAATGTCCTCGCAGTTTTTTGAGTTTTATTTTCATTATAAAAAGGAAACCACCGGGGTCCAGACATACCAAATTAAACTTTACACATCTGATATGACTGGTGATTACCACGACGACCACAGAGGCACAGAGCAGAGATAACCCAGATTACTGAAGCGGACCCTTCCATTAAGCGACTGTGGGCCACTTGCTTCTCCCCTCCCTGCTCGGACAATCTACTGGACCATTGCTGAGACTCCTCGTCACTCCTGTCTCCTCGCATCACATAACATCCGAGTTCTTTCTTCCTCCTGCCTCGTAAACACCCCACCCTCCTACCTAATCTTCCTCCTCCAGCACTATGATTTGAATTCATGCACAAATGAAAAGATTCTCTGACCGACACCCTTCCTCTCGCACAAAAGCATGCATAGCAACACTTCTGATAATACTTGTAAGGAATAATAAGACAAAAAAAGAGGTAATGCGCGTCAAAAATACTCATTGGACCTACTGCACACAGTTTTCACAATCATACAAAACAATGTTACCCCTCCTCGCACTGTCCGCTCCACCCTGAGCGCACTGTACCCCCTGAAAAAAGTGTATAAAAAAAAAGACAGCAGGGGACGTTGTTATCCTGTCAGCTAATGATTAATGGCTCAGCTTCTCACCTTCACCATCACCGCCACAATTCCCCCGAACTAACCACCCACACATTGTTTCATTGTTCAAAAAAAAAGGTGCCTGCTGCTGGGCCACAGGGCGCTTTCGACATTGTGTGGATGTTTCCCCTCCATTTACTGTGCCTGTAATTTGGCCCTACTGGCAAATGCAATTCTAAATATCCTCTCTCTTTCTGCATATCCCTCATGACTCCATCTGCTCTGATTTCCCTTGTCTACAGCAAACACCTCTGCATCTACAGAGTGTTTGTGTGTTAACAAAAAAAAAAAAAGAAAAGCCAATAAATTAATGTGTGGACTGAATTAAATTTAACGGGGTTGTTGCTGTTTGCTGCAACCTTTTAAATGTGGAGTTTGTTGCCTTTTTGTGGAAGCTGCTTCGATGACGCTTCCCAGGGAGCTGTTTTGACTCTGCACTGAAAAATACAGCTTCAACCCACAGATTAAAATATATATATATATATATATAACAAAAAAAAAACCCAAATAATAATAAATCAACAACAAAAATAAGAAATACATCAGGACCAAAAATGTGCTTTCTTCAGAAAATCTTTGGAACCAAAAAGGCAAATAATAGCAATAACAACATAGTGAGAGTATATGGAGATGTGATACATACAGGACAGAGACTTGGTCTATAAATTGTCTGGCTGTCAGTCTTTTAATGATGCCTTCAGACAGACTGGTAAGGAGAACTTTAAAATTATTCGGACTGAACAATCCCAGAGAGCATGATGAGGGATTTAAAACGACAAAGCGATGCTTGCGGACAGTGTATGTGGTGTCCTGTCACATTAAAAATGATGAATATAAATAGAAAACTGATAAATTCTCATTACTGCAAGACTCCATTACGTGACTGCAACCTCTCTCTTTCACTGTACTCTAATCTGGGCTGTTCTGTTGGGACCTACTCTTCCGCTGAGTTGAGATCAGACACCATTTCCACACACAGAGCTCGAGCACAGAGCAGCCCTGCCTGAAGCCTGCAGGCATTAATATCTCAACTGGCCGGGAGGGATTCCCGTTTGGCTGACTGGCAGATGATTAGTCTCCCGTGTGGGTGCTCCCGCTTCAAATCAGCTTTTTTCTAAATCTTGTTTGTTAGTGTTCGATTGGTTCTTTGTCCATCTGACCCGTTCATTCACTGCATCGCTACTACGGCTGGAATGTCTGACGGTTTAGGAGACAGAAAGAAATGTAGCGAGTCCTTTTTTGGAAGAAGCACTATGAGTGTAGATCAAGGATGAGCCTCGGAGGGGAAGTGCACTGAATTCTCAAAATGGACATACGCACAGGGTAGTTCAGAGCGAGAACATCCCGACTTAGTGTTGCAGTTACAGTAATAAATGGAGTATGGGCAGACCAGCAATAAGGACAAATGAATGGCTCTGTCACTGAACTCAATGGACAGTTTCAACGCATCCGCATTATACAGAATGACATTTCTATGCAACTTCTTATCAATCGCAGCAAAACAAATGGATGAAAGAAAAACTGAGGTAATGCAGAAAAAAAACAAAGTCACTTGGTTTTTTTTTCCTTGTCATTTTCACACTTTTTTTTAAGCATTAGTTTTGTATCCTTGTGTTTCTTTTTACACTTGGGGGAAGTTGAAAAACGACAAAAAGAAACTTTTTCCCATGCTGTGGTGTTTATAGTTTGTCGTTACTGGGACGACAGTGGTTTCTGTCAGACAGACGCTCCCAAGCTGCCCCCGGCTGAGTGCTCGGTGTTCCAGCTTTACGAAATAACACGAATAATTCCTACATCTTCTGTACTGAGTAGTCCGAGTTTGATTCATTTTTTTTTTATTATTATAACACAATGCTTAACCAGAGGGTCTGCTGTAATGTAGTGTTTAAAAACGTAAGTACCTTTAATTTTTTTTTAGTAATGTTGTGCTGTGGCATCATTCTGTGCAGGCCAACACTACAGGAGAAACGTAGAGGGAACCGTGTACTTGGTGTTACATGTGTGTGTGTGTGTGTGTGTGTGTGTGTGTGTGTGTGTGTGTGTGTGTGATACAGGTCTGATTAGGTCTTATAGGGCAGTGGATATACTGTAAGTTCAGAGACTTTTAAGGAAAAAAAGGTTTGTAGTGTGCAGGATCACACAGGAACAGCAGTCTCTCTCCTTCCAGGTCCCGTGTAGTGTTTCTAAAAACCGTCCGAAATTGTGTGCCCCCGTAGTTCAAAGCAGTGGGAGACACTGGTGGCAGTTTTGTCAATGTTTCCATGTCAGCGACGGACAGAAGAGTACAGAAACAGAAACAGAGTTCGAGTTAATGATGTGGCAAATGACCTCTTGCCACAAAAAAACAAAACAAAAAAAAAAAAAAAAAAAACACATGAGTTGTCACTATAGTCCGCCTGCAGAAAAATGGAGGGGAGCTGCTGCCAGACAAAGAACTTGAAAAAGGGATTTGGAGCGATGTGAAATTCCTTGGGTGTGATTTGTGGTTTTAGTAAGGAGCAAACCTACTGTATCCCGCCCGGTATAAACTGGCCTGAAAGAGACAGAAGGGACAATACAGTCACTGAGTGGAAAATATGAACAAATACAGCTATATATTATTGTTTTGAGTTTAAACATACCCCAAATCCACAAATGATACATTTATTGACCCAAAACTGCAACTATATACCCGCATTTAATCATTCATTGTTTTTAGGACAGTTTCAGTGCAATGTTCTACTGAGGACACACAAGAAAAAGGTTGCATTGTGGATCCACAGAAGAGCTTAACATGAGCACACCCTGTGCATCTACTTTGTATTCCATTCTCCTCCTCATAGAGAGAGAGAGACTACGGTGCATCTTAAAACTTCCCTTTGAAATAATACAACTAATTGATGTACCACGCTGGTTGTTTTGTAGTGCTTGTGTCAGTTTTCTCACCATGGCTCCCACTCCGTAAGCAGCAGCAGCTGGGGTTAACGCGTGGTAGGGATCTGTAGTGTACACCCGGCCATAACTAGCAACACAGACACAACATACACAAAATTACTCATTTGAGTTCAAAAAAGACAATATTATTACAGGAGGTACCCTGTGGAGTTTCTGACAGTCCACACAGAGCTGGTTATATTTGTAAAATAATCTTTTTCTCTCTTTTTTTTTTAGCCCTCTGTCAAGACCTGATCAGCATTTTTCTTGCCCAACACCAGTCCTTTTCAAAAAAAGCTTTCAAAGTGTGCCAATCTTAAAATGCTCTGTGTGTCTGTGTACGGGGAAAACCAAACTCTTGCAAAGCAGTGATGTAAGCTGCTTAAAAAGGACTCTTTCTCTCTGATCATTCATTTTAAATGTCAATGTAGCCCATCATTGCCATTAACCTCATTTATGTTGATTTTGTAGACGTGATCGTGAAAAATAATGATTTGGTCAGCTGAGCAGTCTGTCACACTCTTTACCAAATGCAGGGTTTGACAAATAGAGAGGGCGGAGTGTAACAGGTTAAGCCCAGTTTTATTTTCTGTACAATAACAACCTGGAAACATGAGCGTGGACGCAAGTTGTTTACACATAAAAACGTTTAAGAATTAGACGGTGTAGTGTAGATGTACACACTGCCTTTGGGTGAAGAACACTTAATGTAAATGGAGCTTTGTTTGTTTACAAGAAAACTCCACAGGGTACTTTAAAGCCAAGTTTGCACTTTGTTTTGTCACAATTCACTTTATTGTTTTGTAATTTGCACAAAATGCTGCTCCAGAAGGCACATTTGGAGAAGATACTGTTTTAAATTAGTTATCAGCGCTGATATGGTTTAATATATTCAATTCATTAAGAATGCGCAATCACTTAATTACATTAGTTTGGTTCCCTGACGTCCATGTTGGCATTCAGGTATTCCACTGCATCTAATCTTTTCCTGAGATACAAGATTACATTTTCATGGTCAAAGGCTTGCTGGCTTTCACTATTATCTTATCGACTTGTATCCATTGATCAGTGCTGTGTTATTGAACTTAAATGTCCTTATATATGTATTCACCATGTGTTTAGATTGTCCTCAGCCAACCAGTTCTTCTAAAGACAGCCACTGCCTCCAATCTGTACTGAAACTGCCTTCTGACACTACAATCCATCCTTACAGTGTGCATCGCAGCAGTTCTGCCATACAGTGAGGTGTGTGTGTGTGTGCTTGTTCATTAATGTCCCGGGTTGACCTCACCTGTCACTGTAGGCGGCAGCTGCGGCGGTTGCTCCGGTTACGGCCGCAGGCTGGGCGTAGCGATAGGCAGCAGCGGCAGCGGCAGCAGCAGGGTAGCCTCCCTAGAGACACACACACACAGACACAACAGAACTAACTCATACGCCCTTGAGGATGTAGACACCTGTGCTAAGGTGTGTAAATGACTGGTGGTGGGGGCGAGGCGCCATATTGAGATGGAATATACTGACATTGAGAAACACTTATATATGCAAATATGTATGACTACCTTACAATAAATGTCCTGTTTGCTAATTTTTTAATAAATCCTATAAATGATTACTGTATATTTTTACTGTATGTAATATTTGATGCACAATTCAAAGGTAAAATTTGACAATATAGCATATAAATGATACATTCATTTTAAAAATACTTCTATTTCCTTGTATTCAGTAAAAAATGACTTTTTACTAACATTTACAATAACATTTCCTCACATATACTGAATGTACTGAACCCGTTTATCATATTCATATATATTATATAGAGATATATATATATATATTCACAAGTGAAATAGGGTGTGTGTCAGTATATTGCATTTCTGTATGGGGAAAGGAGAAGGTGGATGTTGGATGTGGGACCAGAGTGTTTTATCAGTGAGACAGAGAGAGGAAATTGGACGGTCGAGGTTGAGTTAGATTGTATTATTACCACTACGGGAGAGGGAGAGGTAAAAACAGTGGGAGACAAAATGTTCACACAGTTGAGGCCTTATAGAACCCTCATTGTCTCGTCAGGACAGAAAATCAAATAATGAACAGATACAACGAGGGAGCACCTACAGTTATAGTACACTAAAGGTTACTAGAGTCAGAAGTCCTAGTGGAGACATATTTATGACAAAAACGGCTTTTGTTATTATTATTATTATTATTTGTGTTCTTTCACATGGATTCAGGAGACAGAAAAAAGAGGAAGATGGGAAAAAAAGTCACACACACAAACACACCCACACAAGCCTATACTGACTAAAAATCATCTCCTCGCACTGAGACTGCATGCATGAACCCAAATTAAAAGCTCAACACAACACCACTGCATTTGGACCTGATCAGAACAGAGCACAGCAAAGCACAACAGAAACGCCCCCAGCATTCTCTGAGACGGCTGCAGGACACGCAGCAAAGAGGGAGGGGGGGGCGGGGGTCGAAAAAATGGAGGGGTTATTAGGGGGAGAGAGCAAGGCCTTCTAGTTGGGTGGAGGGAAAGGAGCAGTAATACAGTATGTCTGCATGCAGCAGCGGATCAGCACATGCTTGATAATCATCCTGGGAGGGGTTGGGGGGTGGTTAATTCAGGAAGAGACCGTGTTCTCCGTTTCAACTTGCAGGAGTATTTTATATCCCAGGCTAACATTGACTGGGCGATTGCTGCAAAATGATCGTTAACCATCATGGTTGCATCCAATTTGAAAATATCTGCTGACAATTTGTATTTTTCTTTTTTAACGTTTATGAGACGTAGGTGTACTTTCTCTTTTTGTGCCTACAAGAGAACAAAATAGGATGGGTGCCATTTTTTTTTTCTTCTCAAAACTAGCCGAGCAGACAAAAGAGACCAGGTTCTCTTTTGAACAAAGTGGTGAGAAAAAATATACACTCAGTACAATTTAGTAGTTTAGTAAACAAACAAACAAAGCCCTTCCCCACAATCTAAAAAAAGTGCACATTTCAGTGAGTTAGTAGAAAAATAAAGAAAAATTCAAAGCATTTAAAAAAAAAAAAACAACTAAAAGAAAACATGTTCCAGATCAGATCAGAAGATGATTCATAAGATCAGAGGAGGTAGTACAGTAAAACAATGCACACTGTGGGTTTGGTGTTGAGTTGACCCTACCTGAGGCAATCTGGGACTAAGGACTGAGTCCTGAAACACTAGTCTATAGAGAGAACAGAAACAACCGTTGTCAACCTGGATACACACACACACACACACACACTCTTGTTCAAACGCACACAAGCACACACACACACACACACACACACTCTCGCACACTGACGCACGCTACCGCATCCGCCCACAGAGCAGCCTTTATAGTGGTGTCACAAAGATTTCGCAGCTCTCTATTTTTTTTATCAGTATAACTTATTTTGACCCAAACTGTATAATGAGGGACGTTTTCTGTCACAACAATAAAATAATCCTGAGGCAAAAAAACCCCCAACAGCTTTTATCATGGGTGATCTTGTGTTCATTTGTTACAAGTGGTGCGCTGTGTTTCTAAACTGTGGGCTCATTCACCTTAATGCAGGCAGCTCTGTGCAGCGCATGACTGGACGCAACATGCAGAATCACCCCCAGAGAGGAAAGAGCAGGAGAAAGCCGTGAGGGGAGGGACAGAGAGGGTGTGTTGGGTGGGAGGTGAGTTTACTTACATACAAGTCTGCGGCTCCGTAAAACCCATCCTGATACACCACGCTGAGAGAAGAACGAGGGAGAGAAAGATGGAGGGGGAGGGGGAGGAGAGTAGGAGGATGTAGTGGAGTGAGGGGGAGGAGGTTGCAAACGGGGTGGTGCACAGTCCCAAAACCAGAGTGGATGAACGTCACAACACAGCAAAAATACAAAAAGAGGGAAGAGAGGGAAAGAAAGAGAGATGGAGAGAGAGAGAGAGAAAAAGTAGTTAATTTCACACCCATGCAGCATGCAGAGGAAATACAACTTCCATTTAAGCTCCACAACTGAAACCAAAAAACATTAAACAATAGACTCTTGGGGCTCATAGATAAAGTTCATGGAACTGAAATGAGACCATAAACTGCTATTGTTCCCCTACTACGAGAACAGCAAGGCAGTAAAGGTTACTTTGAGTGGATAATTTTATGTGGAGAGGTGTCGGCTTTTCAGTGGAGCAGATATGGAGAGGGTATTTCCTGCAGCCCCCAATTTCATCTTGTTTAGCTTCATTTGAACGTCATCACAGTAAGCAGTCACAGGGCCATTAACCAATCAATTCTGCTTTGATCTCAATATCATAGCAGTCACAACCCCATTAGCCAATCATCACAGCACAGCAACGACATGCACAGTAAACACATACTGAGGGGACATAAAACACATTCACAGTAAACGTGAATCATTTGTAGCAAATCTGTGTGCAGGGTGTCTGCTTCTGCATAATGACTCTGTGTGTGTGTGTGTGTGTGTGTGTGTGTGTGTGTTTATTCAAATCTGCTGATGGTGGTATCTGTGTGTTTATTCAAATGAACCTTCAAATGGTGCAATCCCATCAGTGCGTCATACTCGGCTGACTAGCTTGTGAAATGACTGACAATGTGCCAGTTGGACTGCTGAAGAGAGTGAAGTGTGAATAATGTTTGAGCACGAGGAGTGTATGAGCACAGCTGCGTTAAACAGAAACCTGGTCAAATAGAATGGAAAATGATTTGGAAAATGATTTGGAAAATGGCATGCATGAGGTGTCCCTCAATAGATTTACTAGGCACTGAACAAAACTATTGATCTTGATCTTTTTGTATCTCTAAACTGTGTTATATAAAACACATACAGGAGATCTGGGACAGCTACAAAGCACAGGGAGTCAACAGTTCTCGTTTATCTTTCTCACCCAGGATAGGCAGGGATGGCAGGCTGAGGAACTGCAGCCCTCACCGCACTGTAGACGGGTCGGCCTCGGCCCCTGAGGTGAGCGCCGCGGAACGCTGCTGCAGCCGTGGTGGCTGCTGCTGCTGCAGAAGGGTAGGGAAACCCTGGGACTGAAGGAGGAGGAGAGAAAGCAGAGGATTTAGGGAGGAAAGAAAACAACGCAGGAAGGAAAAGAACAAAGTGAATGAAGAAAATAGGGGTGAGGCCCAGAATGAATTAAAGAGAAAAGAAAGAGCAAAGAGAGAGGGGGAATAATCCAACTGTAGCCTTCAGGCCTTGATATTAATACAAGTGTCAGTGAGGAGAAATGCTAGGCAAGCAGTGCATTAATATAAATTAAAGATCGGAATGTGAGTCAAATTTTAAGTCGGCTGTAGAGACAGGTGTTAGTGTGGGTAAGGGAGCTAGAGAGTGGCTTTACCTGCGTAGAGCTCCGGTCCATACATGGCCCCCACCATAGGACTCAATTTCCACCCCGCTGATAGTCACACAGAGAAGAAGGGGAGTTCATTAATACGTACACAGAACATATCATCCTATATGCCTGCTGCACTTGAACATACATGCTGTTGTATACAGAAACATTTTATACACACATTTCACAGCTTTTCACCTTTATTGTTGCCATTTATAGTTCACTAGGTGCTTTAGAGAAGTTTTATCAAAGTATAGTCAAGTCTGAAAGACTTAAGGGACATCCACACCAAGAACGATAACTATACATGTATCTTTAAAAAAAATAGCTCACACTCAAGTGGATGGCAGACTCCACATGAGAGCAATGAGAACGACAGTGGTGAACGATATTGTTGTGCTCAGAGCAATTTGATGAAAAATATTGTGGTACACAACTTATTAAACGCTTATAAAAAATGATTTAAGGCTGCTAATTAAACAAAAACATCTAAGGCGCTGATTTTCCTAACTCCTCTCGTCTCTGAAGATCTTAGTGAACCCATATCCTTCTGGTTATCTTTTTGTTTCTCTGCGCAGCGTACAGCACTAACAGCTCATCAATGTACATTTTCCTAAGCTGCTGACACACCTGGACCGCACAGCGTGTTGGGGCCACTGTTTACACAAAGTTAAGTCCATCAGTGTCAATGCTTACATCGTTATCTTTATATATATTGTAATAATCATTGTTCTTGGTGTGGCCCTTAGCTCAAAACTACACTGGAAGTTAGACGAATAAATAATGGAAAAGGAAGAACTGCTTCCATGTTAATCAACTGAATGTGTTATACTGGCACTGCAAGGTGAAGCAGCACAGACACTGGATTCAGCTCTGACTGCACTTTTTGTTGCTGTGTGTTGTCCAGCAAAAAGACGATACATGGTGGTGATAGATGAATAGCAGGGTTCCCGGATGGCTGTGGCAGCACATAAACATTCATAGGACAACACAGCTGTCGTAATATGACAGCTTTCTCTTCTGCGGTCTGTGGAGTTGATCGGGAGAACGTGAGCTCAGCTTTGAAGTCAACTGACATCATGGCTGGTAGGTGGTAGCAAAAATAAAACTAAGATCAACGGCATTATATTGTTAGGCTGTTGTCCTCCTACAAGAGGGAAGAGTGCGGCTGCACTGTGTATTTTACTGCCTACGTCTGCCTCGCCCTGTGTACCTGAGCTGTTTGGCTTATTAGACGGGCCACGGTTCATTGTTAGTGTGTGTCAGTGTGGTTGTTACCATAAGGCAGCGTGCTGAGAGCCTCTCCGTTAGGGTAGGGGCTGACCATTTTCTTGTTAGTCATCACCCTGGCGGTGGCGTTATTCACCTGAGGACGGAGGAGCAGACGGTCAAAAACACAGACACAACAACTCAACAGAGGAAACTAAAGAACAGCACAGACTCAAACATAAGAGTGGATTACATTAAATAGGTCTGCTGTTATGTGCTGGTATTACGTTTGCCTCCATTTTTATTCATCTTGGTGCATCTCTGAGGTTGACAATGTTATTATCTGTGTATATTTATTTCTACTAGGTCATTAAATGTGAATACTAGTGTCATTTGGACTACATAATTTTTAGGCTGTTACATAACCTTGTTTTCATTGTGAAAATGCATGGCTGACGACGTAAAAGCTGGCGTAAAATTGGCTTAAAAGTTGGCACAAATGATGGCACTGACATGACCATGCAGAGACATGTTCTCCAGGGATTATTTTCTGGTAAAGATTCCAGTTTCTTTCTGTTGGTGTCATGTGTAAAATACTGCACACTGTTTACCAGTGTGTTCAATGTGGAAGGAGCTTGTGACATGGATGCCCTCTTTCAGTGGTTTGTGTTGGTGTACATGTCTATGTTTGTATGTAAAAGCAGGTGGGGACTGTTTGGGGGATGGGGGGGGGTTTAAGTCATCATGCAAATAAAAGCAAGCTGCCCAGTAGACATTTGGTGATTCACTGTGGAGGGATATAAGGGCTGCCATGGGTGACATTGTTGCTGTTGTGACTACACATGGGGGGGGAGACGACACAGCAAAAGAAACTG